GCAGTGAGGCATAAAAGATAAGAATTCCTTTAAATCAGGCAATTTTCTTACATTAGAGTAGTTATATGTTTCAGAAGAGGGCCTACATTTTACTGATTTTTCTGGATCATTTTAAAGATACTACAAGTATTTGTGACTGTTGGAAATTTTTAGAATTTTAAAAAATCTAGCTTTGAGATAAAATCACTTTATAGTTGCAAGGTTTTAGATACCTTCCTCATTTTCTAGCCAATACTCTACCTCTCCATCTCTCTCTCTACCCCTGAAATCAATCAATCAATCAATAGAAAGAAAAAGAAAATATAAATGAAGAAATTTTCCGTCTAAGCTTATTGCCTCCTCCCAAATACTATGGCTGGATTTTCTTTGGTAGTTTTTCAATAGGCCTCTCTGCTCAACTGCTACTAAAATCTATTTTTTCCCCTTCATATTATATTTCATTTTCCCTGAAAGAATATTATCTCCTTTCTATCTGTTCTGTCTGCATAGTGGCAGAATTGCCATGAAGTTTGGGGCACATAGGTGCTTTTTTCCCTGAGCTCAGCTGTGACATAGAGTTCATTCATTCTATTTCATAACCTTTGGTCATTTTAATTGGTTAAGCTATCCCTTCATGCTTCTTCCCTAGTTCACTAAAATTTAAATTCTAACTTGAATTTATAATTTGTGGACACAATTGACATCACCTCTTAAATGATCAACATGACAATCCTACAGTCCAACTGTTACTATCTCAATAAAAGAGAGAAAACCTATAGATTTTTTTCAGAATGGAAATAGGTATACACTCTAGGCTGATTTAGCTAATGTCCAGTGACTTTTCTAACAGTTGGAGTCCTGAAAATCTTGGACACATCCTTATGTTCCTACATAGACACTCCAGAGTGTGTTGGGTTTTATTTCTGAACATAGTTGGAAAAGTATCACCAAGGAAGACAGCTTTTCTCACTGCTAGAAGGATATCACTTTCTGTCCTTAAGCAAATTGGTCCATGTGGAGAGGGACAAAATTTTGGAGCTCATTATTAGCTACAACCCTACTCTGTATCAAAATTAGTGTTTAAAGTCCCTTGTAGATTGCAGAACAACTTCAAGTGACTCATAAACAGGAACCAGGTAGGTAACAATGATCTAAGATTACATGTGTAATCAGTGTGTTGAACAACTTAAAATGGACAGGGAACAGAGAAAACGATGTATTCTTCAACCATTGGGGACTGGGGGATTATGTTTTCTAAAATCTTTTCCTCTCCCAAAAGCAAATCCTTTGCAAGTTTTTAAGCAGGTTTCATAATTTCCAGGTAATATTTAGAGATTAAAAATTATAATCTGATCTAGTTTAAAACTCCATTCACTTGAAAAATTTAAACTTCACTTACTTCACTCTCCCCTCTGCCAGCCAGCCTTTCATTAAAAAATTTGAGAGAGAACATAATGGGTCTACTACTGTTGTATGTCCTCCCCTTCCTTCTCTTCCTCTTCTTCTCTGGCAAGGTAGATAGAGGATTTACAGGGAAGGGGGCAAATGTCTTTTCCTGAATAGGAGATGTGAGTCCTTTCTCTGTGAACTGTTGTTTCTCCGAATGATAATAATGCTAACAATTACAAAGTACATATATATATGAATTTATTTAATTCCCACAATTATTAATTCTCACAATTCAATGAGATGGATACTTTTATTATCCCCATTTAACAGAAGAGGAAACTAAAGCTCAGGAATGTGCCCAAGCTCATATAGCTAGTAAATGGCATAGCCAATATGGAAACTGGTGCAGCATCAAGGCTTTTTTTTTTTTTGAGCTGGAGTCTCACTCTGTCGCCCAGACTGGAGTGCAGTGGCCGCTCCTGGCCACCGTAGCCTCAACTTGCTGGGCTCCGGCGATCCTTCCACCACAGCCTAGCATCAAGGCTTTTAATGGGTCATTAATGCCCCTATATTGCGGGTATCTGGATACTGACTTTCTCATAGGACAGATGAGCTCTTTGGAGAGTCCATCAGAGGCCTCTGCACAGCACAGTTTCCTGATGTAGGAGATTCTTCACTGACTCGACCTCCTGCCTTGATCTCAATTTCTATTGGGGTAAACCACAATTTCTTACCATTGGGGTTCTTTCTCTGGTGTCTAGTCTTCTTGGTTACTTAGCTACCTTCACAGTGTCCACTGGACACATAGGAAACTCCTATGTCCCTGCTGTCCAAATGGTGGGAGTTCTACTGCTGAACTCTCTCTTTCTGCCCTCAGATTGTTGTGATTCTTTTTAGAAAGTAGTATTATTTTTAAAAAGCAAAAATAAAAACAAATAATTTCCTTGGCTTTGTGTCCTAGTCTGTACTTCTTAGACAACTGGGAACAGCACCATTAGACATTTTGTAATTCTAGACACACATATAATTTAAGGAGGAGAAGATCTAGGGAAATAATTCATCTTTTTTCCTCTTATATTTGCTGAGATGCCCTTCTACCTTCATTTGAAAGCTGAGAACCAAAACTATTTGCCTGGTTACAGGGCCTACTTATTGGAACAAAGGATGCAATAATTGTGCCCTTCTGAATGTTCCACAGAAAAATGTCAAGTTGTATATGAGTGTGTGTGTGTGTGTGTGTGTGTGTGTGTGTGTGTGTGTGTGTGTTGACATATTTCCTGAAATCATTTATCTTAGTTATTGAGAGCATACTAATTTACTGGTGAAAAAAATCAGATAAATACATGGGGGTCTATGCTGTGAGTAGCTGAAATGAAAATACCAGCACTTTATGGGGGTGAATATAGTACATATATGCAATACATGAATTCACCCAAAATCAATTTTCTTAAAACCAGTTTGCTTAAACTCAGTTAACCTAATATCTGTTAGCCTGATGGTTACTTTACCTAGTATCTAAAATTCAGAATTAAACATAAAACATTTACCAAATAATATGACTTAATATTTATAACTTATTTTTATATTGCTAATACTAACTTTATCACATATTGTGAATGATGAAATTGTTATATATCATTGTGAATGTCTTTTTTATTTAATTTTGATCACTTGCAAGACTCTCTAGCCAATTAGCCAAAAAAAGACTATGTCTTTACAATTTTGTATTTCTGCTAAAAATATTTAGTAGAATAAAATTTATTCCATTAAAAATTAACCTTTTGATTTTAGTACCCCTTTCTTGCTTTCCTTTTTAATAAGAATTTATGAACTCTGTATGTATTTGTATACGTGTGTATATATGTACAAATGGATGCACTAACCAAATTAGCATACTCTTAGGGCTCATTTCTGTTTAATGAGCATATTAATAGCTTGAATAAAGAGAAAAGATGTATCCTTCTTTTGATCACTACTTCATATTATTGATCAAGATATCTAATTGATAAAATTGTAAAATGCAAAATTATGCTTAATTTTTAAATGAAATTTTAGTAAGAATCATAAAATTTTGAAAAAGATTTTTGGAAATGCCACGGAAGTGTTAACAAATTAATACCATATATGAATACTTTTTCCATTCTGCCAAAACCTAATACAGTTCCATTGTTCATGAAAGTTCCTAAGCTTCATCTTCAGGCTCATTGAATAAAAAGCCCATAAAGATTGAAAAAAGTCACACACTCAAGATTACATTCAAGGGGCTGTGGTCACCAACCCCTGCAAATTTAAAAAGGAATGATAGCAAATAAAAATATGTGAGTTGAAATACAATACAATACTTATTGTATTTCAAAAAACCTGACTTCTCAGAGAAATTTAGAGTCCTTAAAATGGCAAAAGAATAATATCCAAATGAATCTAAAACCTTTAAAAGGAGTTAGGCATCAACATTAGGAGAAATTCTAATATGACAAATTGTCTAAAAACAAGGCATTATAGCCGGGCTTGGTGGCTCAGCCTGTAATCCTGTGCCTTTGGAAGGCTGAGGTAAGTGGATTGCCTGAGCCCGAGGGTTCGAGACCCGCCTGGGCAGCGAGACCTCATCTCTACAATATATAAAAAAATCGACCAGGCATGGTAGTGCATGCCTGTAATTCCGGCTACTCGGAAGGCTGAGGCGGAAGGATCGCCGGAGTCCAGCAGGTCGAGGCTCCGGTGACCGGGAGCGGCCACTGCACTCCAGTCTGGGCGACAGAGTGAGACTCCAGCTCAAAAAAAAAATTTTAAAAAAACCAAAAAAACACAAGGCATTATGTTTTACTTTTTTCTTTTATCATGAGAGTTGGGGGGACAAACAGGAAATAACCATAAAGTATTTGGTAAAGAATGTGACATTTCAAATTTTCTATATAAAAAGAAGATAGAATAATTCAGAAATTCTGGTCATATCACACCCTTCCAAGGGCCCTCATGCCTTGGAAGAGTCTGAGTTGGGGCCCTTCATGCTGGGAGTCACATAACTCACCAAAGGAGAGGTACAGTCTCCTCAAAGCCCTGAGTTTTTACCTCAGTGGGCACAACCAGCTATACATTTGCAGAATGAAATTTTGTTTAAAAAAAATTACTAAGGATTTCAGGATAATGACAGCAGAGCATTAAACTAAACATGAGGGCTTTCTAAGGGCAGGACTCCATGTACCACACAGATCACACACCCATGAAACCAGTCAGGTCTGTGAGAATAACAATTGTCCACCCTCCTTTCCATCCTCTCCCCCTCGTGTTTCCTCTCTCAACCTCCCCAGCTTGCTTTCTTAAGACAAAGTCCCTTGGTGGTTAAAGGAGGGAAATTCTGAGCTGAGATGGTGCCTTGGCTGATGTTGCTCATGGTTGGCTCAGTTTAAAAAGAGTACAGCTCCTGGAAACACTCAATATTTTTTTAATCTCCTCTGACTATGCCTATTAATACAATATCTAGCCTCTTAGCAGGAGCAGAGAATTTTTCATAAACTTAGAGATTAGTGGTATCAAAACTCTCTCTTCCAAACTATAAAATGAAAATGCACTAACTTTCTTTTCTTTTCCCCTCTAATTTGATTTCCTGTGGGAACTTCCTTTCCTGTTAATAGAATGGAGGTAAGAAACTGTTATTATATCAATATTTTGCGTTTTTTTAAATTTGATGTGCCATTTATTATCTACTATTTGCTGAGCACTGTAACTTTTTAGAAAATTTCTCATTTCTAATCCTTTTAATACTCTTACAAGATGATGATGATGAGGGTGAAGATAAAGACAGATAACTATTGAATACTGACTATGTATTATCAGGCACTGTGCAAAGAGTTTTATGTGCAGTATTTAAATTTATCCTCAAGACACCCCTACAAAATAGGTACCATTATTATCTCTATTTTACAGAAAGGAAACTAAAAGGGTATCTTTGAACTGGAGAGTTCACAGTTCATAGCTAGTAAATGATGGAGTTTACTAGTAAATAATGGATTTGGAAATGGAACCCAGAATGAACTCCCAAACACTCCCTCATAGTTTTATCCTCCAGCTAAGAAAATATCACCATGTAATATAACATTTTGAACTTACAGTGCTGTATTTGCAATAATTATTACAACTGACTTTCATAAAAACGCTATAAAATCCAGTTATTTTATCTATTTTTACAAATAGTGAAACTAAGTTTCAGAATGGTTATATTTTATGGCTCATTTGTGAGCTCTGATTTTCTCATTTTAACATTTCAGTGACTTTAGGGGGCAAGTGCTATTATTATCCACATTGTTTTATATAAGGAACATGAAGCACCAAGAGTTGCCCAGATCACATAGCTGGCAAACTACAAGGCCTCTATCTGAGTTAAGGTAAATAGATTCAAGAACTCAGATTTGTACCTACTACATTAAACGGCCTTACCCAGGTAGCACAGTAACCGAGCAGGATCTAGAACTCCTAGCCATTACTTTCAATTTCATAGAATTAGATAGATAATTCATTGCATAACAAAATATGGTTCTCAATCTTGTCCCAACTCATATAGCTTTAATGCATTTGTTTATCTGATGAAAAGTTTTTAGTTTATTATATGGATATCACAGTTCTAAGAGATAGAGAGTATTGACCCTTAATGACTCTACAATGAAGCTGAATATCTACTGAAGGGATATACAATGTAAATGTGGTAAAACTTAAATTAAAATGTAGGCCATCAGCAAACAAATGCCTCCTTCATTCCCATACCATTCAGTACTCCTGCTCTCCGTATAGATTTTTAAAACAATTACTATCCCTGGTGCTATATTGCAAAGCAGAGAGGCAAAAAAATTTTACATATTCTCTGGTCCCAAGGAATACTATTTTACTAGGGGATAAACACCAGACACACACACACACACACACACACGTAAAGATTAATTACAAGACAACATGACAGAACCATGTACAAATTCCAAGGGTTCAAAGGGCAGATATAAATCATTCACATGCAAATACGCTCAAATAAAAAAGTCTAAACCCATTCATAGTCAAATAAATGCTAATTAGAAAACAATTCTATAGCATTTTTTACTTGTGATAATATAAGTGTTCTTAAACTCTGCTGATGAAGAGAAAGTTGCTATAACCATTCTATAAAGCATTTTATAGGCTGAAAGTTCAAGGGGGAGATAAGGCAGTTGCTATATAAGGGAAGATTTTTTTTTTTTTTGAGTTGGAGTCTCACCCTGTCGCCCAGACTGGAGTGCAGTGGCCGCTCCCGGCCACCACAGCCTTGACCTGCTGGTCTCCGGTGATCCTTCTGCCTCAGCCTTCCAAGTAGCCGGAATTACAGGCATGCGCTACCACGCCTGGCTGATTTTTTTATTTATTGTAGAGATGAGATCTCACTGCCCAGGCGGGTCTCGAACCCGTGGGCTCAGGCAATCCACTCACCTCAGCCTCCCAAAGGCGCGGGATTATAGGCTGAGCCACCGAACCCAGCTGGGAAGATTTTTTATTAAGCCAGTTACTATTGTATCTGTTGACTGAATGAATCCATTTTTAGTAATCTGTTCAAAGGAAATAATGAGTTATGAGCAACAATTATCAAAACAACCTTATATTTATTAGTGAAACATATGAGTAATATAAATATCATGGCTGGGCATGGTGGCTCATGCTTATAATCTAGCATGTTGGGAGGTCGAGGTGAGAGAATTGCTTGAGCTTAGGAGTTTGAGACCAGCCTAGGCAACACAGCATGACCTCATCTCTACTAAAAAAAATCGAAATATTAACCAGGCATGGTGGCACATGCCTGCAGTCCCTGCTACTTGGGAGACTGAGGCAGAAGGATCCCTTGAGTCCAGGAGTTGGAGATTGCAGTGAGCCATGATCATGGCACTGCACTCTCACCTGGATGACAGAGTGAGACCTCCCAACTCAAAAAAAACATAAGACTACGAATGAAGGAAAGTGATTAAAACCCATTTCTGAAAAATATGATTGGCATAGGCAAATGTTTATGATTTCATGCTAAATAAAAACAAGATACAAAAATGTATTTACAGTATAATTCTATTTTATGTGTAGACTGATTGTCGTTGATATATGTACAAATAAAATAAAGTGCTTTTTAGAGCAATATATTTAATTTTATACATTTCAGAACAATATATGTTTTTTATTTTATTTTATTATTTTTATTTTAAAGATGTGGGGTACAATTCAGAGTTAGGTATACAAATGTTCATTATGCAGGTGCCCTTGTTGTTGAGGTGTGCCCCACCCTCCCCAGCAGTCCCACCCCCTCTTCCCTAGCAGTTCCCCACTACCGCCAATTATAGTATTATGATAATCAGAACAATATATTTACATATATTTATATTCTCTGAAAAGCAGTGAAAATTATAATATATATTATATGAAAATTTAAACTAGTTTTAAGTCTATGTGATAGTCATTGTTATAACTGACCACATTCCAATAAATTAATATAGTACCAAAAATTCTTAATTCATTTTTTAATCTAAGTATTGCTTTAAGAATTTTTATTGACAATTTTCGGATCTACTATCTCAGCAAAGTACAATGTATCTTAATTAAAATGAAATTTAATAACATCCTCCCTCCAAAAAATATCAGGCAGCAGGCTAACTTTGTCCTGTGGGTTGCCTTTGCTGACCCTGCCTTAGAGAATGTATCATATACAAAGACACCAGTCATTAAAGAACAAAAATATTTCCAATTTGCTTTGAAGTTTGGAGGCCTAAAACCTCGGTCATTACCTTTGTTGGGAATGTTCAAGGGGAGATAAGGCAGTTGCTATATAAGGGAAGATTTGTTTGTACCAGAGGAGAGGCACCGCTATCAAATGTGCCTGCACTAGGAGGGAAGGAAATAAGGTATGGAGTTTCCACTAGAGTAGTGGGGTTGTCATAGCACTAACATTCCATGGCTAGTCATCTGTTATGCCTTTGGACAAAGTATTAGGTATTCAAAGGGATTAGACATCACCCTCATAGAAACTGGAAGATAACATTTAAAAATGTTTTACTGAATGTGATTCATACATGTCAAAGTAGAGAGAAATGGGACTAAGAGGGTGTAGTAAAAATCCTTCAATTTCCTTTGACCACATAGAGTTGTCTGTTATAAAAGTAGTTAAAAGGGGAAATTTGAAGTCAACTATCCCATGATTGCTTCTTTAATAAAAAAAGGAACTTTACAGGAAGGGAGGTCAATGAGGTTTAGATTGTCAAAAGGCAAGAGAGGAACTGGCTCCATGTGCAATATTAACTAGCATTTTTAGGAGATAGTGTGGCAGGTCATTCCAAAATAATCAGCATTCTGTGAACAGATCCCTGTGCCCTCGGCTTCACTGTTCAACTGAGCAATAGGACCAGCTATTTCTAGTGTTGCCCCATCAGCAGTCCCACGAGCTGCAGGCAGAAAAACACAACTTTAGCTGGACATGGAGGGGTCTCATCACTCGTAAAAGTCTGAAGAAAACACATATGGACATTATTTGCATTCATTCATCTCATTCCTCAGTCCTTGCTGTGAGCTTCTTTTTACAATTTTTTAAGTGGTAGGTTTAGGGGGTTGAGGGACAAAATGGCCCAATTTGCCTCTGTGTCTTGTATCTAAAGTTTAATCACCGTGTGAAATTTGACGTTTGTAAGTTTCTGCAAGAGAAGACGAAAAGGAAAAAGAAGTGGTTGAGACACCAAAACTGTAATTAAATGGTTGATAAATAGATACAGATATATACACATACAGATATATGTAGATTTAGATATATGTTCTTGTGTATCCCTTACCTTACAGAGCTAATTAATCATACATATGCTACCAAAGCCAAGTCCTTACTATTCCCAGAACATTATAGAGATGTAAAAAATGAATAATAATTATATAGTTTATATTTGTATGGTTTTTTCCCCAGCACGTAAAGTGTTTTTACAAGCTGGAGGTGATGCTGTTAAAAAGAAAAAAACAAAATTAAAATCAAGGTCTTCTCATTTCTAGTCAAAAACTATTCTTAAAAAAAAAAAAGTTGTATTAAATAGCCAATGCTCAAACATAAATGGACATTTAATGCCATTAAGACACTTTGAGGTTGTTCCAAAGACTTTCTAGGGATTTTATTTTAAAAAGCAGCAGAAACCAAGACAGAGGTGTTGATTATTTATTGATTGTTAATAATCACTGTCTCTGAAGCTATTTCTTTCATATGCTTTTTCTTAGTTTCCAGGGATTTTTTTGAAAATGTATTTTACTTGTGTAATTAAAGGAAGCATTGCGAATGTGTTTTATTTCTCTTAATACTCATAGATGACTGGGCGCGGTGGCTTAAGCCTAAAATGCCAGCACTTTGAGAAGCTGAGATAGGAGGATTACGTGAGCCCAGGAGTTTTGAGACCAGCCTAGGCAACATAGCTAGACTTCATCTCTATAAAAAAAATTCATTAATTGGGCATTGTGACATGTGCCTGTAGGCTCAGTTACTTAGGAAGCTGAGGCAGAAGGATTACTTGAGCCCAGGAGGTAAAGGCTGTTGTAAGTCTTGATCTTGTCACTGCACTCCAGCCTGGGTGACAGTGAGACCCCAGCTCAAATATTATTATTATTATTAATAAAATATTCATGGATAAATGAAGAACAGCATCATTCAATCGTTAACACATGGCAGCACAATCTGGATGAGTAATTATCAACTCAGAGATACTGTAAGAAATAGCTACCTTTTACATAATGCAATTTTTTTTGTTACGTGAAAAGAGTCACACATGCTCTTCTTATTCATGTTCTCTTTATACTGAAATATCATATTAATATGTGAGACTGTTTTGATCTATTTCTGCTTATTCCTTATTATTCAATTTCTTAAAATACAGTGTAGGGGCAGGAAAGGTGTGATTCCTTTCTTCCCCATTATGAGGGTCATGGCTGATACCGCATAACAAAGTTAATGAAAGAAAAGCATAACACATTTATTTGATCATGGTTTTACGTACATGGGAGCCTTCAGCATTAAGACCCAAAGATACAGGAAAAACTATTCATTTTTATGCTAAGGCTCAATGAAGTATAGCCATGTAGAACTATCATTAGACAAAAAGGGATATGATCTAATGCAAGCATGTCCAAACCACGACCCACAGGCCACATGTAGCCCAGAACAGCTAGTAATGAGGCCCCACAAATATTTTAACATCACGTGATTTTTAATATTTATTTCTTCATGACCTCATGAAGTTCCATTTTTGAAGTTCACAATCACACTTTATTCATGGCAACGCTTTTTGGCAGCACATACATTTGTGAGCAACTGTTTTCAATTATGAAACACACAGAGCAAAATTCAAACAAATGTTTCTGATGAGCACCTTGAGAACTCACTAAGAATTGCAACCACTTCCATTGAACCAGACACTGATAGATTGGTTTTATCAAAACAAGGTCACTAGTTTTGTATTGCTCTCGTTTTTCTAAACTTTATAACAAAAAAGAATTTTTATTATGTCTATACCCTAACTATATTATATAATTTATGTGCAGCCCAAGACAATTTCTCTTTATTCAGTGTGGCACAGGGAAGCCAAAAGGTTGGGCACTCCTGATCTAATGCTAATAGCATGGAGAAATTCAGCAAAGCATGTCTGTTTTGATTTTTCTTGTCCTCTCTGTGCAGCATTCTTTCATCCTGGGGGTGAGGTAGAACTTCTCTGAAATGAAATGAGTGTCTTTATTTCTTTATGTCCAGTTGTTACACAAAAAAGCAGAGGGGGGAGGATAGAGTAATATTTTTAGGCTTTATGGCTGGTTTTGAAGAAAAGGAGTTCTGGCGTCTATTGCCTGCCTTGGAGAAGAGGGATTCTAGTTTATATGGCTAGCCTGGGGGAGAATGAGAGTCAGGAGAAGAGCAGAAGGTCAGGGAGACTTTGTTTCCCAAGCTACCTCTTAGACCTTCTCTTTGTGGTATCATTTGCTGAGCCCCAACAACAACAACTTAAGAGTTTTTGTCATTGTTAACAATATAGATGTGATGAAAGGCATAAGTATATATTGAGAACATCACGGTGCCTGCACATAGTAAGTACTCAATACATGTTTGTCAGGTGAGTATGTGAGTTATTATTATAGTTCCCAGCATTGCATTAAGGAGAAAAGTGGATGGTTGAAGAGATTACCAGCAGCATTTTCCTTTCTTCCAATTATTTTCAGTTGTTATAGCAGATAAGCAGATAAGCTTTTAACTTTATTTTTGTACTCACATTATAGAATTTACAGGACTTGTTTTGACATATATTATTCATTAACACACAATAATCTGAATTCAGAATGATTATTTATATCACTCTACTGAGTGGAGCATTGGGGCACTGAGTGACGAGATGACTTTCCCCAAGACATGCAATAGAAAATGGCAAAGCTGAAGGTAGTATTTAGCTCTTCTGGAAGCCACATTGCATGCTTTCTCCTTCCTACATGATTTTTTTTTTCTTTCATGGAATTCTGGAAAGATGTGTGAGTGAGAGAACCCGAGTATGGAAGATGTTGCAAAGGTGTATATGTTCTACAGAATTCAGGTCCTTAACTATCATAACACATAAAAAACTATGTTCATAAAGCTGCACGTTTTTTGGATCACAGGAATTATCATCATGCTCAGTTATTTATTAACCATCATGATGAATATGTTTTTCAGATGTATTTCTGAAAAAATTACCAACTTATTTGCATGAAGCATGTGAGGCAACTTACCTAAGAGTAGTTGGATTGTATTCATAATTTAAATAATAAAAATACTGTGTCCAAATCTATTCAGTCCTTGTTATCTCCCAAATCTTTTCACATCCATTGTCACATTTGATCTTCATAATAGCCCTCTAGAGTAGCTAGAGATGATATAATTGCAGCTGGAAACGAAGACAATATTCAGATGGAGCATTTCAACCAATTTGCTAGTACAATTTTCTCCTGTTTCTGTGATGCAGATGTGGAAACCAAAAAAAAAAAAAAAAGCTTAATAAATGCCAAGAAATATCATGTGATTGGGAATATTTTTTGTTGCTTTTTTCAGTAAACCACAGAAGGATAACAAAGGCTACTGCGCCCAGTATAGAGGCGAGGTGTGCAATGCAGTCCTGACAAAAGATACTCTTGTTTTTTTCAACACCTCCTATGAGGACCCTGAGGAGGCCCAAGAGCTACTGGTCCACACCGCCTGGAATGAACTGAAGGCAGTGAGCTCACTCTGCCGGCCAGCTGCTGAGGCTTTGCTGTGTAACTACATCTTCCAGGAATGCAGCCCTGGGGTAGTACCTACTCCTACTCCCATTTGCAGGTAAAAATTCAAAAATGAGTCAATAGGAACATTCCATTTTTCTGTCTGCAAAAATAAAGAGTTTTCAAAACAGGAACCTAACATGTGAAATACTAAAGGCAAAAGATGGCTTTTCATCCAAAACAGGAGGTAATTAATCAGACAAGATTTGTACCATATAAACTACTGATGATAGCCAAAATACAAGGACTCAGACCTTCTAGAAAATGTTGTAGGTGGTATACTATTCTATTATTCTTGTTATTATTCACATTATTGTCATATTCATAAATGTCCCTGCTTTCTATCAAATAAAAATTCTATACTATCACAAACCTCATTAGTAAGACAAAACAGAGAAAGTAAAGATTATATTTCAAGTGTTTCAGGACTATTTATCAATAAATAAGATTATAATGAGCATTTAATAATATTATTTTAAAGTAAATACATTCTATCCTGTATTCTAAGTTCTGATATTCTTGCCTCATGTGGGTGAGGGAATTAGGCTACAAACAGATGGTTCTTTAAAACTCTCATACTCTTTCAACATTGAAATTCATAAGTTTATGTTTAATAGAATTATCTTCACCTTTAATTACTTCTTATGTAGAAAAGACAGAAATTAATCTACCTTTTGAGTCAAATAGAACAAAGTTCCAATACTGTTAGTTCTGCATTCTAGATGTATGTGATCCTGGCTAAACTTTAGTTTCCTCATTCACACTATAGACTTGACAAGATTAAAGGATAAATCACACCCATGGAATATATAAGAAACAGAATAGATGACAGTTTTCCTAAATTTTCTTTTGAAGAAAACACATGAAAACTATCAACACAGCACATTTCCACTTCAATTTTGGTAAAACCACAAACTATTTAAATATTAAAATAATTTTAAGATCACTCTAGTATATGAACTTATACAGTAAGTTAATTAGAATAAAATGCTCTATTCCTCAATTTTTACTGCAAGTTTTGAGGGTTTAGAGATAGTAACAGTAATATAATTTGTTTCTTCACCTAAGAAGATTGTATTGCGATCAGGCATGCCATCTAAAATTTCTAGGGTTTTCAACATTGAGGGAATAGGAAGGGGAAAGGGGAGAGAAAAACTAAAGCTATTGCCAAGAAGAAATTAGGAAGAATAAGTGACAGGAAGTGGTATTTGTTCTGACTCTGTTTCAACTGTCCTTGCAGTTATTTGAAAAAATAGTGCCTCTGTTGATTGCTATTCCTTTAGTTTAGACTTCTTTTTCTTGCACTTCTACATAAATCCTCCAAAACTGTTTAATCAACAATGGTAATTCTTTAACTAGAAAGTACCATGTATATCATATATAGAAAATGTAACCAGCAAAAGAAAGTGACAATAGATTCTACTAGTTCTGCCCTTAGCACTGCTAATAAAATTTGTGGTGGCCACTGGAATATTCATATTTACAGTGACACGCAGACAAATTAACTCAACACTATGGACAGATGCTTGAGAGGAATAATACTTTGCTTAGAAATGTTTCTTTTTTGTGATAGTCATGGTTTTCTGATTATAAAATCCATGTGACTTCGTTTATATTACATGAAAAGAGATCTATCCCCAAATTATTTTTAAATATTAAATTTAGAAAAGTTTTATCAATGTTAACATGTAAATTCCATTTGGAACTTGATCAGAATTATATTACATTCATATAGTTAATTTAGGGCAAATAACTATGTTTATATTATTGAGTATTCCCAGTCAGGAGTATAGTATTCCATTCCTTTATTCAGATCTTATTTTTATTCCTGCTAGTAAAGTTTGGTGATTTCTATCATATGTGTTTCTTTTTTATTAAGTTTATTTCTCGGTGTGTGTTTTATGGTCATTGCTATTGTTACAGGAGTGCTAATTATGACATAGTTGTCACACTAGGTTAGAATGTTCACAACCGTAGGCATGCAGTTACTTCCCTTGTTCCTTATTTTAATAAAAATGTTACTAATTTCCTTAGAAATTTTGGAGTTAAGCTATATAATTTGGGGGATCATTTAAATATATTTTTTAAATGTCATATTCTTTTATTGTAGCATTTAGTTGATAGAAGTATAACTTATACACAATAAACTGCATTTCTTTTAAGCATGTAGTTCAGAGTTTTGACAAAGGTATACAGCTATGTAACCACTGCTCCAATCTAGACATAGACTGTTTTCACCACCCAGTTAGTTCCTTTATATTAATTTCTAATCAATTCTCCATTATTTCCAAAGGTATCTGCTGTTCTTATTTCTCTGACCATAGATTAGTTTTGTTTGTTCATGAATCTTAAACTCATGGAATTATACAATATTTTGTTTATATAAATATATACAATATATATTATATAATATATAATGTGTTATGTAATATATACAAATATAATGTCTTTGATATTAATTTTTGTTGTCTTTTATTGCTGCTTTATTATTGCTTTTTATTACCCCAGCAACTCTGGTGACTGGGGTGGAAATAGAGCCATCCGAGGGAAGAGCTAGGGACAGGCTTCTCCTGACACTGCCTAAGAATTGTGGAGCAATTCATATGAACAACTGCAGTATCAAAAGGAAAGTCATAAAAATGTTAGGCCACTCAAGATTACTCACTCACTAACAGAAAGAACAAAAAAAGTCAGATACTAGCTTTAGACACAAAGGAACAAAGACTATATTCCTACAATTCTTAGCTTATTCCAATTTTGCTTGATATTATACCTCATTATTGAGAGGAATCAAATCTCTTAAATCATAAGTCATTAATCCTTGTCAACAGATGGGGTATTTTTTCCATTTTATTTGTTAACAAGTTATTACTAGTATATTACTAGCAATAAAACCATTGTATTTTGTTATACTTACATGCATCAACCACTTTACAGAGTTCCATTCAATTTTTGGTTGGCAGTCTTATGGCTTCTCTGTCAGAAATAAGGCAGTCTATGAGGGGGGACCTGAAAACCCCCAGAATTATCTTTTGGTGGAGGGCAGGCTCCTTGTAAAACAGGCTTCCCTCACTAGATAAGTGTTCTAGGAACCCATTAGCATCAGTTGTCCAGCTAGCTTGTTGTGAGAGGCTGTGTTTGACTTCAGTGAATTTTTTTTTTTTTTTGGAGATTCTCTTCAATGCATTTGTCCATTTTATGATGTGTGATTTACATGAACAACATGTGGCAGTGAAATTTTTTCTGCTGGGGAAAAATGTGGCAGAAACAGTTATGCTACAGACAGCTTATAAAGATGCTACTCTGAGTAATACACAACTTTATGAATGATTTTCCCATTTTAAATGAAGTAAAATGTCAATTAACGATCAACCTCATTCTGGGCATCCTTCGAGCAGCCGAACTGAAGAAAATGTCATAAGAATTCATCAAGACATCTTGGAAGACCTCCATCAGATTACTGATGAACTTGTGGAGTTGACTGGAAGGTCATGCAGTTCCTGTCAGTGAAGTTTATCTGAAAATTTAGGCATGAAATGAGTTTCAGCAAAATGTGTGCCTTGCTTGCTCATGCCTGAACAAAGAGACAATAGCTTGGTTGTGTGCTGTGCTTTGAAGAAAGAGTTGGAGGCCGAACCCAATTTTTTTTCCCAAAGTGATAACTGGAGATGAATCTTGGTGCTACAGTTACAACCCTGAATCCAAACAGCAATCTATCCAGTGAAAAATTGCCACTTCCCCACGACGCAGAAAAGCATGACAAGCAAAGTCAAATGTGAAAACAATATCATTTGTTTCTTTGGTGTGAGAGGGTTGTGCACTTGGACTTTGTTCTTCTGGATAAAATGATCAATGAAAGTTTTTATCTGGAAGTTTTGAGGAGGTTGCATCATGATTTGTGGAAGAAACATCACTAGTTGTGGCAAACAGGTGACTAGTTCTTCCTGTGACAACACACCTACCAACACCGCACTGAGTGTTCAGCAATTTTTGACCAAAAACGACATGAGCCATGTGCCCTACCTCTCTATTCACCTGATCTCACCCCAAGTGACTTTTTTTGTTTCTCCAGATGAAAAAAGTTCTAAAAAGAATTATTTTGCCAATATGGAAGAGATGGAACAAAAAACAGCAGAATCACTAAAGGGCTTCACAATTGAGTTCAGAAACTGTTTTGAGTAGTGAAAAGTGTCTCGACAGGTGTACTGCATCAAATAGAGAGTTCTTTGAAGGTAACTGAAGTTTAAACATGCAGGAGTACACAATTTTTAATAAACAAATAATGTTTCGGGGGGTCCCCCCCCCCATATAATAATGATAGACTTCTTTCTTACTTAGAATCTCATCTTTCTTAGTTGAAGTTTAGGACATTTTTACTAGAATTAAAAGTAAGTTTTATGCAGAAGACACTCTTATAGAAATTAGAACTGGCAACCAATTCCTGATCAAAACCCCAAGTGCCCATGCCGCAAGTGATAAGATAGACAAGTGGGACCTCATCAAACTGACAAGCTTCTGCAAAGCCAAAGAAACCACTGAGAGAGCAGGGAGACAGCCCACAGACTAGAAAAAAGTATTTGCCAACTGCATATCTGACAAAGGCCTAACATCTAGGTTCTACAGGGAACTCAAACATGCTGAAAAGAAAAAAACAAACAGCCCCATTACAAAGTGGGCAAAAGATATGAATAGACACTTCTCAAAAGAAGACATGTGAGCAGTCAACAGATACATGAAAAAAGACTTAGCCTCACTACTCATTAAAAAAATGCAATTTAAAACCACACTGAGATACCACATAACTCCAGTCAGGATGGCCATCATCAATAACTCAAAAAACAGATGCTAGAGAGGATGTGGGGAAAAGGGGACACTTCTACACTGTTGGTGGGAGTGTAAACTAGTACAGCCTCTGTGGAAAATAGTGTGGCAATTCCTAAAAGATCTAAAAATTGGCCTCCCATACGACCCCACAAGCCCCCTACTGGAAACATACCCAGAAGAGCTCAAATCACTCTATGAAAAAGATACCTGCACACATATGTTTATTGCAGCATTATTTACAATAGCAAAAAGATGGGACAAAAAGAGGACTGGATTTAAAAAATGTGGTATGTATACACAATGGAATATTAGGCAGCCATAAAGAAGGGCAAAATTATGAACTTTGCAGCAACTTGGATGGACTTAGAGACTATAATACTGAGTGATCTATCACAGAAACAAAGAACCAAATATCACATGTTCTCACTCATAAGCAGACCTTGAACAACTATCGTGATACTATAAGAAAGGGATTGGCAGCAGTGGGAAACTGCCAGGAGAGGGAGGGACACACCTCGTCAACAAGGGTTCTTGCATAATGAACATTTGCATACCTAACCCTGAATTGTACCCCACATATTTAAAAGTACAAAAATATTTAAATAAAAATAAAAATTTTTTAAAAATAAAAACGAATAAATAACGCATTTAACTTCGTTCAAACATGCACATGGGTTTCAAAAATCACAAGCAATATATAATGTTTCTCTTTGGTCCATTAAAATTTCGTTGGTCCTTTTAGCATATATGTCAGGACATTATTCTTGCCAGATAATCCCATCCTCTAACATTTCATAAACCAACAGGCTGCACAGTGATTTTGTACATATTATAAAATAGGCAGTGAACTCAAATCCAGACCAAAAATCTCACAGACTGTAAAATATACATATATGACAAAGGGTAAGGGGGGAAATAGAAGAGATGAAGAAAGTATGTGAGTGAGATGTCACAATAAAAAAAATTAAATTTTATCTTTGTATGCTACTACTGTTACTGGGATTTTGTGTCTGTTACCTGTGCTCCATGCCAGGCTCTTGACTTTACCACAGAAAAGAATTTTAGAGCAAGTTGAACATAGCAAGGCCGTTAGCAATTTTATTAAGAGGAAGATAGAATAGTGCACATGCTTTAGGGCAGAGTGGAGGTGGACACAAGGAAGTGTGGTCCGAGATTTTTGGCTTCTGGGTTTTGTGAGCTACAATAATGAAGAGACGGGATATTATATTAAAGGTGTGGATTTTTCTAAGATGTTTGAGGAATTCCTGGAACTGAGGCTCCACCCAATTTATTATTATAAATGGGTGGTATTGGAATGATCATGGTGCTAGAGGATCATTTAGTATACTAATAAACATATAACAAAGACAAAGGTTAAAGAAAGACAACTTGGCTATTTATGTGCATACCCAGCTGAATTCCCCACCTGTGCCCTGTCTGGTGGTAGGCTCACAACCACCAATATCCTGAGTAGGCTGCAGACATGTTGGGAAGAATTATTTTAACAGGTTTTTTAAATCTTCTAGCAGCCCTGAAATTAAGACAGTTTTTGCAAGAGTTTCTACAGGTTCCTGAATTTTCCTACACCCTCCTACTATTCTATTACTACTCTAACCTGCCAACTCTAACCTGCCTACTCTAACACTACAGAATACATTTATTGAGTAACTTTCTAGCATTTATGTCCCAGATCAGTTTACATGCATGAAACACAGATGTTCTTTTAAGACTGAAGATAATTTACCTTTTTTCAGAAAAAAAAATCTTTCATTGAGATTTTAAATTTATTAGGATAGTATAGTTCATCACTCACTAAATCTACAAATCATCTGTAGTGTACTTTGTTCTAATTTCAATTATTATTTAGATAATTAGAAAATTTTTTCTATTTTTAAAGATCCTTATATGAGACATTTTATACCCATTGAGATAAGAAACTATAAATATTTTCATATTTTATAGGGGTTTTCTTTTCTCTGATATATAATTGGTAATTGTATAAAACAGACATAAAAAAACTTAATCTCATCTCTCTAGGCACAAAATTCATATATATTATGTAAATATTAGTATCATCAATAGTTAAAATGTCCAATCCTTTTTGCTCTTGAGTGAGCTTTGTCTATTTGATGCAATAGTCCAAATGATGCATTAAACATTTTCACAATAATTGCTTCTCCATGAATGTTTTCTTGCAGTACTGACAACTTCTGCTTTTTGCACCAATAAAAATGAAACTAAAATAGAACTTATTTTTAATAACTGGTGAGTTTGGTCTTCATTTTATCTTATTTTTGTTATATCTTTTGAAAGACCAGAAAAACCAAGGGTAAAAGAGGAAGTTGTTTTAAAAATAGGGAGTTCAGGATAGGCCTAATTGAGTTAGCATAATTGTACTGAATCTTCCACACTTGTTCTTTGAAACTTTATTTGGAATTATAAGCCAGATTAGTATTATTCTGTTACATTTTTACTTTCATATGCTCAATTTTAGGAAAATTATTTTTAGCATTTATATTTAATTTCATAATGATGTATAAATAAATACTTAAAGGACCTGTGTTACTTACCCTTGATGTTCATTTCATTCATTAAATATAAAATCTTTCTTTTTCTTAAATTTTCAATTTTGATTCCTTTTTTTGTTCATCCATCTCTCATTCAGCTGAAGTAGATGATTTCTAGATTACATGTATATTTTATCTTGTAATCTTACAGATGTGTTTTTGACTAGGTATTTAAGACTTGTATTAACAAGTTCTTCTTATATATACTCTTTTTTTTTGGCTGTGTATTAATGAAGAGGAAACAGAAAGCAATCCTAAATTTTGTTCCTTTGTAAGGAATATTTTCCTCCTGCCAATTGGTAGGAAGATTATTTCTTTAATTCTTGAGATTCAAATGTGTAAAATTCATTTGGAGATGGATATCTTCATTACTTTATTTCATGTCATACAAATAATATAAAAATAATTTAAACATGTGCTTTTAATCTTAAAAATCTTTTCTTATAGTACATCTTTGATTATTTTCTATTTTTCAGGTGTTTTGGTTCTCTTTTTGAGAACAGCATTATTTGTACTTCAGATTTCTTACATTCTCTTTCTTATCAGTTATTTTACCCATTATTTGCTTCTGTTGGGTCTTTCTTTCTGCATCCAGTTAGGTTCTTTCTTTTTGCATTCAGTTGAATATTCAGTGCAAATTGAACATTTGTTCATTTCTTGCAGTGTCACTTTTCTATGTTCAGTGAAGATTTTTAATGTTAATTTTACTTTTTTGTGGTTTTTATTTTCCCTATTCCCATGTTCAAATTAGCCTATTTTTCAGTCTGTCTTTTCATTTCAGTCTGATTTTTTCCTTGTGAAAAACTCTGTTATAGAGGGTATAATTAATGCATGGCAATAAAAACAAAGCAATCCAAAAACCATTCCTAATGTGTTCTTCACTTAGAATTTTAAAACGTCCAGACATAGAGGCTCACTTCTTTAATTCCAGTACTTTGGGAGGCCAAGGCAGGAGGATTGCTTGAGCTCAGGAGTTTGAGACCAGCCTAGACACCACTGTGAGACCTTGTCTCTATAAAAATTTAAAACATTAGCCAGGTGTGGTGGCAAACGCCTGAAGTCCCAACTACTTGAGAGGCTGAGGTGGAAGGATCACCTGAGTGTGGGAGGTTGAGGCTGCAGTGAGCCATGATTGTGCCACTGCACTCCAGCCTGGCCAACAGTGAGATTCCCACAATAATAATAATAATAATAATAATAATAATTTTCTCCGGTTTTTCCTTCTTCTACCTAATGTGGATCATGTAATTTTTTATTTTAAATTTATTTTTTTAATATTGATGTTTGCACAGTTTAACTCTGCTGTCTTGAATGCAAAAAAATGTGTTTGTGCAACCCAAGGGTGGTATCAAGCCAAGCAGCACTTTTCTCAGATTCTTCACCCTCCCAGAAGCTTTGAAAGCTCCATTATACTCCCTTCTCTTGCAGATATACCAAGAATTCTACATTCCACTTTGATTCTCATTATTCCCTCATTGTATTCCATCACATTCATATTCACAGCTTTTCATTCTGTGCATGCTCAATTAACCCATATTGGCAAGTTAGAGAAATAGGAATGTAGCCATGAGTATTAAAAAAATGAAACCATAGTGGCATATATTCCTATATATATGTATGTATATGTACACACACACACACATATGTATGCATACACATGCACAGTTTCCTTCTTTCTGAATCCTTCAGATATTGAATAAGGGACATCTACATATTATTATCTTTAATTTCTTTAATTATCTTATTATTAACCCCAAATACCTTAATTTGGAATTAACCAGTTTTTGCCTATGTAGTGTGTCTTATTTTCTATCAGGCTAAAACAAATATTAATCCATGAAATTCCAACCACTCCAACTAGTCTTTCTTCATCCACTTCAATTATAACACAACATACAGATGAAGACAACAGCTTCATATTCAAACAGAGATCACTTTGGTTTTCTCAGATGAAAGTGTAATTGGGCAGGACTCTGTGCTTTAAAGTAAGGGTGGGTAAGGACCCACATGCCCTCCTATAAACTGCCAGAGAGGTGGTGCCATTCTGTTTCTGAAAACAAAGCATACGAAGGCATAGACTGTGTCCTTCAAGGCTTTCCCATCAGCCCCAAGATCACAGAAAAATTCCCAGGCTAGAAACTGATTGATAATCATCCACGACTTTTAATATGTGTACTTTTAAAGTTATATCTGTAACTTTGTGGTTATTTTAATATGAAGTTGAGAGAAGACGTATCAGAAATTTTCAAACTAGTATCTTTTAAATTTGAGAATTCCTTTCCCCAGTAGCATCCATTATATTTTAAAAATAAAATAAGATAGCATTTTACCTCACAGGATAACATACTGTATTTCATAAAGTTCCACATTATGTACATTACAAAAGTCCTTTCAAAAATGCTTTTATAATAACAGTGTACAATGATGATGTTTTGAAAATACAGAATTTGGCTTTAACATGTCATGATTCATCAAATTTTGTTCTTCATACAATATTTTAGAGAATATTGTTTGGCAGTAAAGGAGCTCTTCTGTGCAAAAGAATGGCTGGCAATGGAAGAAAACACCCACAGAGGACTCTACAGATCTGGGATGCATCTGCTTTCCATGACAGAATGCAGCAAGCTTCCCAGCATGCACTGGGACCCCATGGCCTGCACCAGACTGCCATATTTAGGTAACAAAGAGTTCTCCCATGACTTTGGAGGTTAAGAGAAATTTACTATTTTGAAGAAACTTAAGATGTGAATTTAAAGCTTCTAATATTTCTAGGCACTTCTAATTTTTTTTTTAATTCTGCCTTACTTAGACACCTAATAGCAGAATCCTAATGCTATCCTAATTGCATGGTTAGTGTAAGGATTTATTTAATTTGTTCTAAAATAAATTAAAGAGAACTTTTAACTATGACTTGAGCTCTTTCTTTCATAGGGAATCTTATGAAAGCTTGTGATACTTTCTGGAATATGCAGAAAAATGTCTAAGAACATCTCGTGTTTTGTCAGAAGAATAGAATAAAGGAATAAATCCTTTTTCTTAGCCAATGAAGCAAATTTTTAAGCATGCTAAAATAAGCCACATGCTTGAAAAATGCTGATCCCACAAAACAAAACTGAATTGCTGCATGCTGCTTTAATGAATTTTGTTTGAAAGGAACTATGTTGTTATCCCTAACAGCTGGTTTAATTTCAAAGAACTAGTTCTTTCACATTCGAATGAAAAGAATGTCTTCCAGTTGTATATTAAAAAGCTGAAAGAGAACTTGCATTTCTTAGCACTCTCACAGAATATGTGAGATATCTGGATGCTCACTTAAAACAAATTTTTATCCTTTCCCCTTCAGATTATAAAAAAGAAAACCTAACAAGTAAGTAATTTTGTTTTTGCCCTTGATACCTTATGTGTATGTAATTGGATTCATGCATGTGTGTTTACACTCATACTTCCTGATGTCTGGAACAGAATGTGCGGCTCCTCTCAAAGGCTTCTCACCATATTCATTCAGGGTAGAACATGAAGGAAGATCATGAGAGGTTTCAGTTTACAGCTTCGAATAGGCCATGGAGAGTACCATATCTGGTGAAGTATACAGGTACTATCTCCAACCTCAAGGTTGTTAGCCTGTTTTATTCCTTCTATATCTATAAAAATAAGCCCAAAGTATGTTACCTTTTAATTTTGCTTGCATGATTTTGTGTTATCTAATTATTTATAGATGAAGACAAACATTTATTTCTTCATTGAGCTGATTCATGATCTTTATTTGTAACAACAGATCCTACTTTTGGAAGATAGGTGTCCGTTAAGACAGCTAATTTCCTGTCTAAGTTTTTTAGGTTCATATCAAATGGTTTTTAAAAGGTCATCACAAAATCTCCAGGAAATAATTCAAGAAAATTGCTTGAAAAGAGATGTTGTACAAACTAACTTGTATGTTTTAACCTATCAGAATGCTTAAGTCCTCAGAATGAAATTAGAAAGTTTTTCACATCAATTAACTTTCTCTGGTTTCACTGTTGTAAGACATATTCTGTAACACATATTCCAGGCCTGATCCTCTCTGCACTTGGTTAGGTGCCAAAACTTAATTTTACTTTTTTGCTTAAAGGACTAAGACTTAAAGTATTAAAAGAAAGAATGCTATTGGTCCCAGTTGAATTACTTAGGGTTATTAAACAAGAGCTGTTATGTAGACCCTAGAATCCATTATTCTGGTAGCCTGTCAAATTGTTATTGCCAATTTAAGGAATAAAAAGGAAATATTTTGATTATTGGTTATATAAGCAATGTTTACTTTAATTGGACTTTTAACTGACAACTGTGATCTTTGTTATCCGTCAATTGTTTACTCATTTGTCCATTCAAGCATTCATTGAGAGTTTACCATGTGGAAGGTGCTGATTTAATCTTAAATTACACACACACACAAAAGCATCCACAGTTCTGCCTTTTAATAAGGGAATTTTGATTAATACAAACTAGCCACAACAACTAACATCCCAACCTTTTTTTTTATGGGTTGATACCATTTTATTCAAAATAGGTAACAAAAACTGAGTTACAGTCAGCATAATTGTAATGACTTTTAATGGCATTTATTTCATTTTTATGCAACAAAAATAATAGCCAAGAGTTATTTTTCTCAGGTTTCTGATCACCAAACATATTTATAGGTTATATTTGTTGTTTCCTTGGCAAATTGTTTAGTTGTGTGCTTTGTGAATGATTGTCACTATAGTAGTATTTGTTGATATCTATGTAAAATAGCATAACCTTACCAACCAGCTTGGTTAAACAGTCATTTCTTTTATACCTATGTATTGCCAAACATTTCCCCCACTTTAAAAATTATGACAATTGTAAAAACTACATTGCTTGGCACTGCATTACTTTGCTAATGAGGACAAAGGACATTCACGTGTCTTTAGATGATGAGATATGGGTTTACAAATATCTGAATATAATGTATTATGGAGACAATCAATTGGATGAGTGACTGCCTTACTTTACATGCAAATGTTTTGACTTCTTGGTGGGCAAAGTTTTGTTATTGTTCGCCTTTTTTTCACATGGTCTGATAAATCACTAGTGCTGCAATAACAAAATGCTCTGCTGTTCCAGGAGCACAGCTCAGTCTTTAAAAAACACAGCTTTATAACATTTTTGATATATATAAGAAAATGAGCTTTACATGTCATAAACTGATCATTTCATCTGAACAGGCTCTAGGTAATGTCTGAAAGTTATGCTCCCTAAGTAAAATGAAATTAGTGTTACAAAAACAAAGAACTGAATACCACATGTTCTCACTCATAAGTGGGTACCATTCATTTATCATGATACTTACTACAAGAGAGGGATTGGCAATAGCAAGACACTGAAAAGGGAGGAGGAACATACATCACTAAGGGTACCTGATCCTAAACCAAGGGAGGTGAGGCACAGTGGGAGGCCCAAACTTCACCTGTACGTAGACCACTTATGTACCTAATCTTGACTTGTACCCCACATCTTTATAATAAAATAAAGAGGAAAAAAACATTTATTAATTAATTTAAACATAACAATAACAAAACCATCACACATGAAAATAAATGACATATTCATTAAAAATAATTGTATTTTCCAAGAAAAATTTAAAATTGTTGCTCACAATTTTAAATCACCCAGGGAATGTGATGATTTGACTTTTTGTCAGCATTTAGATGACTATATGCTGAAATGATGGTTGGCTAATTTTTGTGATGATGTTAAAGTTAAAGTTAAAAGTTCATAGAAAATTCAAGTTGGTATACACCCCACATCTTTCAAATAAAATAAAATAAAATAAAAAACCGAAAGAACCAGAACCTCTCCCTGGTTCTGAGCATTCTTATTTGACAACACACACAGCCAGTTTCTTATTTGAGGTGGTACACTCTACGCAACCCCAGAGAGAGAAGGAATGGAGTCTGTGCCCAGCCTTAGGCCAATACATATCATCACCTGATGAATAGCATTACTTTAATGTTATTGCTTTATCATGTTCTGTTCTTTGAATCAACTGTAGATTCCTAAGCAATGCATTGTATGTCCTGTGCCCTTGTATCTAGTCATAAAGTTGATTTTTTAATATTAAAAAAGAAAATTCATTAAAATGTTTAAAATTTTTTTAAATGCATAAATAAGTAAAAACTTAAAAAAAAAGAAAATTCAAGTAGGAAGTGACATTAGCAGCTATTTAATCCAAACTCTCCTACAATGAAAGAATCTCTCCTAGAGCATCTGACAAAGATATTCCCTTTTCCTTCTTGAATTCATCCCTTCATTCTACTGAGAATACATTAAGTACTAGAATAATTTAGATATGTAGAACTAAATTCTGGTTCTCTATAGTTTCAACGATTGATCTTTCTCTACTCCTTTGCTCCATCTTCTACAGGGCAACCCTTACAATATTTGATGACAGGTGCTGTATGTCGCCTTCTCCTCTTCACATTACATCTCCAATTTTCAACTTTTTCTTCTGTGAACTAACTTTCAAAATCCTCACCTCTGTGTTTACTTTTCATTGACTGTACATGAGTTTGAGGAATGTCAAAAATTAAACATAATGCACAGAACATGATCTGATCAGAATTATAATGCAACCATCATTTTATTGTGATGAGGCCATGTTCTTAAGTCTTTTACCAATGTAAAAAGAGTAACTCTTGTTTTTACTTGAGTGTTTTAACTTTAAATTTCTAGTACTAAAAATGGTAATCCTTCTTTCCTTGTACTTAAATTTACCTGGAATCTCTTTGTTTCTCTCTTCATTTCTCCCCATCTCAGAAGACTTTTAGAATTGCCAGTGAGATCCTCAGAATGTTCTAATCTTCTTCATTAACTTCCCTAATACTATTAGGTTCCTCCTTGTAGACTCTCCCTATTGAATCTCATTTTGAGAAGTAGACAAAACTCTACATATAGATATAGATATAGATGTTATTTTACTCTTTCTATGTTCTATTTTTGGAAATAAATAGTCTGATGTGAGTCTGTTTATTTTTTCCTATAAGTAATTTGTTCTTTTTATCTAGATAAAAGCTTTTAGATTTTCTTTTCATCTCTGGTATCTGTAGTGAATATCCTGTATAATGGTATGCTGCTGAACATCTCTTCCACTTCTGTGTTTAGGAGTTCATGTTGATAACTTGAACTCAGCCACGATGGGAATATTTATACCATGAAAGTTAGGTTGTAGCCAGATCTTTCAAATGCAAAATGATCATGCTACTCTACTGCTTACAACTCCCTACCCCATTCATGATTCTCTCCATGTGCTGCAGGGCAAAGTCTAAATGACTTAACTTGGCATGCAAGGACTTTTATGACCTAAATCTTATATCTATAGTCTTATCTGTAGATACTACACAGCTCAAAATGCAACTTTTAGGTATACTTTTAGGAAGACATAACAACCGCATAGTTCAGACCTTATTATATGCCATTCCTTCTTTGCAGAATAACATCTCTCCACTTTGTTCCACTCCACTCCCTTAATTCCTCCAACACCCACACATGTGCACATGTACACACACACACACACACACACACACACACACACACACACACACACACCTTTTTCTTAGTCTGTTCAAGCTTCTATAACAAAGTACCACAGATTGGGTGGCTTATAAACAGTAGAAATTTATTTCTCATAGTTCTGGAGGCAGGGAAGTCTAAGATCGGATCAAGGTGCCAGCAAATCTGGTGTCTGGTGAGGGTCTAATTCCTCATAGACATAGCTATCTTCTCATTGTGTCCTCACATGGAAGTAGGGGCAAGGGAGCTTTCTCGAGCCTCTTTTATAAGGGCATTAATTCCATTCATGAGGATCCACCCTCATTCATTTCAGCATACAAATAGGAGAGGGCACAAATACTCAGGTCATAGCAACCTTCAATTGGCTATTGTCTACTCACCATTTATATCTAACTTAAATTTGCTCACTCTAGAGAACCTGCCCGGGATGCCTAAACATGAGTTGGTGCTGCCCCAGATGCTCACGAGCATCCTGTTCTTACTATTCTTATAACATTTCACACATTTTGTTGTAATTATCTGTCTACTAATTTCTTTCCCATGATAAGCAAAGACTTGTCATGTACACCATAGTATTCTTTCTTTAAAATTTTTTTTGTAGTTTTCATTGTAAAGATCTTTCACGTTTCTGGTTAGGGAGATGCCAAGGTATTTGATTTTTTTTTCCTAGCTATTGTGAATGGGATTGTGCTCTTTATTTGGGCTTCTGGTGTTTGTTTGTTGGTGGTGTACAGAAATGTGACTGTCTTTTGCACATTGATTTTATACCCTGAGATTTTGCCAAAGTCCTTTATCAGTGCA